CAAGGAGATGCACAATTGTAGGCCGGCGATTGCTGCCTCATACTCGGCTTCATTGTTCGAGGCCTTAAAAGAAAACTTTAGTGCATACTCAAAGGATTTGCCTTCGGGAGAAGTTATCACTACTCCTGCCCCCGAACCGTTTTCGGTGGAAGACCCATCCGTAAACACGGTCCAGACTTTCTTTTCACTGTCTAGCGCTTCTTGGTATGAGCATTCGGCCAAGAAATCCGCTAGAGCCTGAGCCTTAATGGCAGCCCTCGGACGTTAGCTGATGCTGAATTCGGTGAGCTCAAAAGCCCACTTGGCTAGCCTACCAGATTTTTCAACCTTGCCGAGAACTTTTTCCAACGGCTGATCAGTTAAGACCACTATCTGATGGCAATCAAAATAGGGCCTCAGCTTCCGAGCAGCTACTACTACCGCGAAAGCGACTTTCTCGAGTAGAGGATAGCGGGTCTCGGCATCCGTCAGTGTATGACTGACAAAATAGATCGGTTGCTGACTCTTACTCTCTTCCCTCAGCAATACTGCGCTGATGGTGGCCGGGCTAACGGCCACATATAGGTATAAAGTTTCTCCTTCAGCTGGGCTAGCCAGCGTTGGGAGTCGAGCCAGATGCTCCCGAAGCTGTTTAAAGGCGTCTTTTTGCTCTTCCTCCCAAACGAGCTCTTTTGTTTTCGGGAGTTTTAGGGCTTTGAAGAAAGGTAACCCCTTATCCGAAGCTCTGGAAATGAACCTCAAGAGGGCTGCCATTCTTCCGGTGAGCCGCTGAACATCCCGCTTCGTTTTCGGCTCAGGAAGGTCGAGCGCCGCTTTGACCTTAGAGGGATTGGCATCAATCCCCCTTTTGCTGACCATGAACCCCAGGAATTTCCCTGACTTCACGCCGAAGACACACTTCTTCGGATTCAGCTTCATCTGATTCTTTCTCAAGGTGGCGAAAGTTTCAGCCAGGTCCTTTACATGGTCCTCTAGTTTTTTGCTTTTGACGATCGAATCGTCAACATAGACTTCCATGTTTCGGCCCTTTTGATCGGCGAAAACTTGATCCACCAGCCTTTGATAAGTTTCCCCCGCATTTTTCAATCCGAAGGGCATCATTTTGTAATTGTACACCCCAGCGTTCGTGACGAATGCTGTCTTGGCTCGATCGTCGGGGTGCATAAAGATCTGATGATACCCCGAGAATGCGTCCATGAAGCTAAGCAAGGCGTGGCCACTTGTCGAATCGACTAGGTGATCGATTCTCGGCAAGGGATAGAAATCCTTTGGACAAGCCTTATTTAGGTCCGTGAAGTCAACGCACATCCTCCAGGTACCATTGGGCTTCTGAACCATCACCACATTTGCCAGCCATTCTGGATATTGGCAAGGTTCAATGAACCCTGCCTCCAACAATTTTTTGACCTCGGCTGCGATGTCTCGGTTCTTATTGGCGGAGTAATTCCGCTTCTTTTGCTTAACTGGTCGACACGTCGAGTCAACATTAAGCTTATGGGAGATGAGGTCTGAACTTATCCCGGGCATATCAGCTGCCGAGAAAGCAAACACATCTCTGTTGTCCCGAAGGAGCTGAATAAGTTCACAACGGGTGTTCGGATCAAGGTCCATCCCGATTGTTACACATTTCTCACCGTCTCCTTCGGCCAACTCAACTGTTTCAGTCTGTTGGTCCATGTCCATTGCCGATGGACTGGACTCTTCAGAATCTGGCCTGCTGCCAATGTCAGCAGGTGTCCCAGTCTTTTTGTTCTTCGGCTGGCTCTCTGAGTCTTGCGGCTCAGCTGAAGAGCTAGCCTTTTCCCTTTCGGGCCCTTTTTCTCTGGGCACAGATCCTTGGACCGAAGCACTTAGGCCTTTTGGCTTTTTTGTGCTTGGCTCTCTTTCTTTTTCTTTCTCCTCCTCATCCCTGTCGTCATCTGGGCGACTACTGGATGGCTTGAGGTAATTGCACCTTCGGGCGTCCTTTTGGTTGCCCTGTATCCTTTCGGGGAAGCCGGCGTCTGAGACGTAAATCATCAGCTGATGATAAGTTGAGACGACCCCTTGGATCTCGTGAATTATGGGTCTCCCCAAAATCACGTTGTACACTGAAGGAGCGTCGATGACCAAAAATTCAATCATGACGTTCCGGGCTGCCTCATCGCAACCGATGGTGACAGGAAGTGTCACCTTCCCATCTGGATAAGTTGAAGCCCCATTGAACCCGGATACCGGGTAGGGTACCGGCGTAAGGTGCTTGGGCTTCAGCTTAATTTGATTGTAGGCCTTTCGGAACAGAATGTTTGCTCCACTGCCACCGTCAACAAGGACCTTACTGACGTCGTGGTTGGCCACCGTGGCGATGATCACCAACGGATCCTCGTGAGGGAACGTAATCCCCCGGCAGTCGGCGGCTGTGAACGTCATGTTCGGCACCGGCGGCTGGGGAGATTGAATGTCAGCGTTGTTCACCTGGTGAGTCAAAGCTCTAAGGTGGCGCTTGTGCTCCCTCCGAGAGTATATTCCTCCCTAGATAACATTGATCGGAGGGAATTTCCCCTCCGGCTTTTTACTGTTTTTCCGGGGGAAATCAAGGTCCTGCCGAGGGTCCTTTGCTGACCTCTCGGATTCTTTTTTCTCGCGGTGATCCGCGATGTATTTTTTCAAGTATCCCTTCCGGACCATGTCCTCTATCTGGTCCTTCAGCTGGATACACTCCTCAGTGTTGTGGCCCGAAGACTCGTGGAACTCACACCACTGATTTTTATTTTTTCGCTGATACCACTCTGGGAGTGGTCTCGGCTTTCGGTAACTCTGCTTCTCCTTCGTCACACTGTAAATTTTGGCGCGTGGAAGAGAGAGCGGAGTGTAGGACTCGTATCTGCCTGTGTATGAGGCAAATCTTTCCTTCTTTGGGTCGTTGGCCAAAGATTGCTCCGGGGCCTTTGACTTTCCCTTTGCCTTATGGCCTTGGCCTTCAGACAAGGGTATTTGCCTCTGTTTCCCTCCCCCGGATTGAGGTTGGGTTTTCGCTTTGTTCCATTCTTCGGCTCGGATGAACTTATCCGAAGCACTAAGAGCTTCCTCCAAAGTCTGCGGGGTATGCATGACCATGAAGTCTAGGAACTTTCCTGGCTGAAGGCCATTCTGCATTGCGAAAACGGCTAGCCCCTGGTCCAGCTGGGAGACGCTTGATGACTCGTTACTGAAACGGGTCAGGTAGTCTCGGAGGCTTTCGGTTTCCCCCTGTTGCAGACTCATGAGCTCTACGGTAGTCTTCTCTCGGCGGTTTGCCGTGGAAAACTTGCTCCTGAACTTGGAGGACAGATCATCCCACCCTGTTATGGAGCCTTGCCTTACTCCCTTGGAGATCCACGCTTGCGCGACCCCCTTGAGAGTGGTTGGGAAATATTTGCACCAAGTCGCCTCGGATCTGGGGCAAAGATGCATATGAGTCTCATACGAGGCCACGTGGTCCTTCGGATCCGTGGTCCCGTCATATGTGATGTGCGAAGGGATTTTAACCGTGGGTACGCGCTCTTCCAGTATCCATTGCTCGAATGGTGAACTAGCGGGTAGCATAACGGCCTTGCCCTTGTTCCTAGCCGAAGGGACCGCGCTCCGCCCTCTTAGAGAGGTAGGAGTGGTTTTCGTCCCTGGCTGGGAAGTCTGGGCCTCGGCTGCAGGGAACGAGAGGCGACTACGCACGCTCGGTTCCTGCCGCCGAGTCGGTCAAGGACGCTTCTGCGAACAGTCTCAGGTTCTCGGTGAGTAGATTCTGGCCGAGAAGCTGAGCTGCTGCTCTTATGCGCTTCTGGTCTTGAGGATGAGGATCCTTTTAAAAATTGAGGGTTCTTTTTCCTCTGTTTTTCATTTTTCCAAGAATCCTCCTCCCACTCTTCCAGTTCCCGGAAGGAAGGAAGCTTCCCACCATCATGGTCTAACTTCCTCCGCTGATGCCGGGTATGCGGAGGAGTTCGATCACGAGGTGGTGGCATATTTTGTGCCCTCATCGCCTCCATGAGTACTGCCAGCGCTCTTGCCACCTCTTCCGAGCTGGGCCCCGTCAAAGGGGTCCTCGGCCGAGTGTGGGAATGAGGGCGCGCAGCCGATGGTTGGCTTTGGGACACTGAATATGTCCTATGATCGGACTGACCCCTGCTAGACCGAGAGTGGCCCGGCTTATATTGAGAGTCTTGAATTACGGGAGATAGGGAATCCTCCTTGTATGATCCTCCCTCCGAGCCGGCACCCTTGGGAGAGTTCTGATCCGGCGAGGGCGATGGTGTAGGGGTTTTAGGCTTTTCGCCCGCTCCTTGACGGAGGCTTTTGCTCTTGCGGTTCTTAGCCATTGCTGCTAAGATAATTGCAAGATGATCTTGGTTAGGAATTTGGCTTAAAGATTTTTGAAAGTCGTCCCCACAGACGGCGCCAAATTGTTTCGGGTGAAAACAATGGGACCTTGCCGAAGGTCCGCTGAAATGGAGAAGACTGGATTCGGTCCAAGTTATGTTGGGCCGAAGGTTTCCTGCACAGTAAACACACGTAAACTAGCCTCGGGGGTGTTGCCGAGGAAGGCCCCTCCGATGCTAAAGTCAGTACAATGTGTAAGAAGAAGATACTATGCAAGAGAGCTTGTAGCTTGAGGCTTTTGTGGAATATCTCAGAATGTATGAATCTATCAATGAATCAGAATATGAATATCTGAATCCCTCTGTGAATGTATCAATATGATGGCTTTTATACCTCATCTTACATGGAGAGGTTGGGCCTTAGCCCAATTGGCTTGCTTTGTGGGCTGACCTTTGACTTTAGCACAATTTGGAGAGTTGAACCTTGACTTTGGGCTTTTAATTGGATCATTTAGTTGTTTAGGCCCAATTGGACTAAATTGGACCCAAACATATATATATATATATATATATATATATATATATATATAGACAATATAGTTAGCAATAATGTTCTTAAACCACATAATATGTAATTGTCCATTAAATCTTTCCTAGTAAACTTGCCTCATTGTGTGGTCCTTTGATTGTATCGTTTGTAGGAGGCTGGTCTTGAAGCTGCCTTCTTCGAATGGGAACGGTGTCTTCTGAGCAGAAACCGTTCTTGTGCCAAAGTTGATGGATGAAGGCCGTTGTAGGGTTGCTTTGGTTCATCATTTTGAGAGATGAGCTAGGGTCCATCTTGATTATTTCACAAGTTACAAATGTGATTTTCAATTAATTAATAACCGAAATCAAATTTGAAGACTTAATTATGCTCAAATGACTTTAACAAATTGGTCCAATTCAATTGACTTATAGACTCATAAAACTGATACAAGATCTCTAATTCTCTATGCACTAAAAAATAAACCGGCCTGTGATAGCTTAGCACTAAAGAAGCATGTCCAACATGTTGCTGAGGGAATCGTGCTACGAGCTAAGCTAAGCCGGCTTGAGCTAAAATTCTTTTGGAATAGCATAACAAGGCTACGACATGACTTGTGACATGATATATACTACCTCCGTTATATATTGTTTGCAATGATTGGACATTTTTCCTCTCCACTTCATGTCAAATCGTTGCAAATAATATATAACGGAGGTAGTATATATCATGTTAAAACTTAGTATGCAGACAAGCACGACACAACACATACAGTGGCATGTGGGCTTGAGTTGTGCCTAGGGTGCCTCTTTTAAATCTTCTTCATGGGAATCATGGCACCTAACCAGTGCAATTTGGTCAAGCTTACAAGCCTAGGGCGGGTTCAACCCATGGTACATTTGGATGATCTAGAACCATCTATATGTTTTTTTTTTTTTAAATCATTATATGTGCTTTGTTAACAATTTGTCAATTCTCCAAACTAATTATAACCGGGATGTACCTTAAAATGGAACAGAGATTTTTTTTTTTTTTCTCCACAACTCATGTACTAACAAGGTACGTCACATAAATAAAGAGATACCTTTGGTTGTGCCACGCCACTAATAAGTTATTTGTCACAAAGGCCCCGTTTGGTTTAATGTAAAACATTTTTAATGGAAAATTAGTTTTCATGAAAAAATATTTTCAAAGAAAAACACAATTGCATATTGGTTTTCCTTTGTTTGGTTGCATACAAGAAAAGTCCAAGAAAATAAAAAATAAAAGTGGAAATGTAAGGATGAATGAGAGGAGAGTAAAAAAAGGAGGTAAGGAGAAGAGAGGAAAATGTGGCTTCCCTTGTTTTGGGAAGGAAAATGTTTTCCATCATTAAGAATGAAATTTCCACCTTTGGAAAATTGTTTTCCACCCCTTAACAAACCAAACAAAGGAAAATGGGAAAAATGGAAAATTCATTTTCCATGAAAACCTTTTACATCAAACCAAACAGGACCAAAATACGAGTAATTAACAAATTGAATTAGTACAACTCTACTCTAATTAATTATTTAAGCACTTTTAATTGATATAGTTTGGTAAGATTTTTCACAAAACCTGTATCTTATGATCCTTGAGGAGAGGATGATTAAGAGCTGGCTGTTTCCGTATATCAACACAATCTACCACATCCCCATCTTCGCCCTGTTTAACACAACAAAAACATCCAATACAAGTTATATATACAAATCATATATATGTGACGAACAATAATTAACTTATATATTTAGCGTATCATACAATACCTTAATGGTTTTGACAGTTCCCTTGGGAGGAGCTGACTCGTAGTTACTCGTGTCCTGTTCGAGGATTCTTCCTCTAACGACATGGGATAGATTTAGAACTAGTACACTCACTAGCAGAAGTAGCACAAACCGGTATAGTCCATGGAAACCGAGGTGCTCGGAAGTCATAAGAGGAACGTTACCAAATGTACGTATATATATTTGGTTAACACAAAAAAAATGATGTAGATTATATTGAGCAACCTTGTCAAAATATGCTGTTTTTATAGCAGGGAGATCTTGCTCATAATGTGTTAAGACTAAAAAAAAATGGCATGAATTATTCAAGGTAAGAGTTGACTTTTTTGTTTGACATTTGATTGAAGCTTAAAGAGATGGACATGATCATTAAAAAAATGACCATGATAAAGACCAAATTATACTTTATTACTCCGTATTAGTTGATTGGAAAATATAATGATGATTAATGATAGGAAAAAGAATTTAATTGGCCGGTTAAGTAGATAATGCTAAAGAAGGTTCAAACACTTCAAAGTCTTTGACATCTACGTTAAACAAAAACAAATATTGAAATATTACAAGTATTATTTTGACGGGAAGATCCAACAAATATATTGAATAATGTAAAGATTTGATCTTTATATTCTGTTCTTAAGAACCTCTCACAAATGATGAGTCAAATTCTCTGTATTGATTTTTGTGTATTGCGGCTTCAACCTTTACAACCTAGTCTGCCAGTATATATATCAGGGTACACCCCAAAACCCTATACACCTAACCAAAACAAAAAAACAACAGCTAAGGAAAAAAACAAAAAGAAATTTACAGCTATACAGAAAGGACAAACAGCTATACAGGACAATTATACACATAAGATTACAGAGGAAATACATCAGATAATTAGCATGTGTTAATACGCTAATTTCCACACCCCCCCCCCTCAAGTTAGACTTGGGGAGGTTCCAACGAGCCCTAACTTGAAGGATAGGAAACTGTGCTGACTTTGTCCTATAGGTTTTGTCATGAGATCGGCTAACTGTGATCCTGATTTCACATAGGCAGTGAATATGAATCCATCATCAATGTGCTCCCTGACGTAATGGCAATCCAGCCTCAGATGCTTAGTCAAATCGTGAAAAACTGGATTGTTTGCGATGTAGTGTGCTGCCTTATTATCACACATTAAAGGTATTGGTTTGGGAATAGCTACTCTCATGTCCTGAAGTATTCCATCCAACCAAACCAGTTCACTAGTTGTGTGTGACATGCTCTTGTATTCTGATTCTGCAGAAGACTTTGAGACTGTCTTCTGTTTCTTGGTTTTCCAAGATATGAAACTATTCCCCAAGAGTATACAATATCCCGTTAGAGATCGACCACTGTAACCGCAAGTGCCCCAGTCTGCATTGCAGAACCCTATAAGCTTCAAATCATTGTCTGAGGGATAAAACAGCCCCCAATCACTTGTTCCCTGTAAATATGAAATCACATGAAGTGCTGCAAGCAGGTGAGGCTTCCTGGGAGTTTGCATAAATTGGCTAAGCTGCTGCACTGAATATGAGATGTCTGGTCTAGATAATCTCAAGTACAACAGTCTTCCAATGAGTCTCCTATACTGCTCTGGATCTGGGAGTATTTCCCCCATGTCAACTGACAACTTCAGCCCCTTTTGCATAGGGAACTTGTTGTATTTGCTTCCCTTCTGTCCTGAATCTTCCACCAGATCGTGGATATATTTTCTCTGGTTGAGGATTATTCCTTCCTCATTCCTTGATACTTCTAACCCAAAAAAGTATCTCATTTCCCCTAGGTCCTTGATAGTGAAAGCTTTATCAAGGTTTCTCTTCAATTCTTCAATATACTCTTCTTCATCTCCAGTCACTAATAAATCATCAACATACACTAGTACCATTGTCGTCTTCCCATCTTTCACTCTGGTGAATAATGAGTGATCTCTCTTTGGCTGTTCCAAACCAAATTCCTTAAGAAATCTTGTCAATTCTTGATTCCATTGTCTCGATTCCTGTTTTAACCCATATAAACTCCTTCTCAACTTGCATACTTTCCCTTCTTCTGCTCTCCCATACCCTTGTGGTACCTCCATGTATATCTCTTCCTCAAGAAACCCATGTAGGAACGCATTATTAATGTCAAGTTGATGCAATTTCCATCGCTTTGCAGATGCCAATGCAATTAAGCTTCTCACAGTAGTAAACTTTGCCACATGGGAAAAAGTGTCCATATAATCCTTCCCTTTAATTTGTTTGTCTCCTCTTTCTACAACTCTAGCCTTCAATCCCTCAATAGTTCCATCCTTTTTGAATTTTGTTTTATATACCCACTTGCAATCTAAAGCTTTCTTTCCTTCCGGTAACTCTGTCAACTCCCATGTTCCATTCTTCTCCAATGCTTCTAATTCTTCATTCATGGCGTTTACCCATCCAGCTTCTTTGCTCGCTTCATAGTAATTATGCGGTTCTTTCACCTTAAATACATTGTTCAAGGATCCTATGTACTCCTTAGAATAAGAGCTCAGATAACTAAGATCCTTTGCCACAAAACTTTCTGTCTCACTCATGTTGATGCTGCTGTGCTTTCCTGGTAAGCTGTACACATAGTCCTTGAATTTTCTGGGAACTACAAATTCCCTGGTACTTCTCTTATTCTGTTCTTCTACATTATTTCTTTGTATCTCTTCAACTCTTCCAACTTCCCCTTCCTCTATTTCATGAGGAATTATCGATGCATCTTCATTTTGATAATTCTCTAATCCTGTAACATTCTCTTCATTTTCAATTCTCTCTTCCTCTTCTATCTAACCTGGGTCAGCTCTTGTCTCTTGAACCAAGTCCTCTTCTGCCTCTTCATTTGTCATCACTTCTTTCTCACTTGAAAATTCTCCTAGAATCTTTTTCCTTCCTTCTTTATTGTGTTCTGAGATAAGGAAAGGAAATATATCCTCCTTGAACACCACATCCCTACTCACAAACACCTTCCATTTTTCTAGATCAAATACTTTGTACCCCTTTTGATCACTTGCATATCCAACCAATACACACCTTATTCCCTTGTTTCCAAACTTATCCAATTTCCTATCAGGATTCGAGGCATAATATAGGCATCCTATGATCCTTAGATGATCATATTCTGGTTTCTTCTTTAACAGTCTCTCATAAGGTGTTTTCCACCCAACTACTGCACTTGGCAGTAGATTAATGATGTGTGTAGCTGCCAATACACACTCTCCCCATAAGTACCTTGGTAATCCTGCATAGATTCTCATCGTTCTAGCTGTCTTGATCAAGTGCCTGTGCTTTCTCTCAACTCAGCCATTTTGTTGAGGCACCCCTACAATACTTCTTTGATGTTTTATCCCTTTCTCATGAAATATCTTCCTGCATTCACTTTGAAACACCTCTGTTCCATTATCGCTTCTCACAATCTTCACCTTTACATTGAAGTGATTTTCAATGTAATTGAAGAAAGTACTCAAGATGTCTTTCACCTGTTCTTTGCAAGATAATAAATGTGTCCAACTCCCTCTACTATAGTCATCCACTATAGTGAGAAAGTATCTTTCCCCTGTCACAGCAGGAACCCTATACGGCCCCCAAAGATCTACATGTGTAAGATCAAAAACTCCATTTGCAATTGAATTACTTAATTTAAAGGGAAGTTTATGATGTTTTCCTATGCAACACGCATCACAAAAGAAATTTTTAAAGGAATTACAATTGCAAAACTCGATATGTTTCATTTTAGAAAGAGAACTATGCCCTAGTCTAGCATGGAGAACATTCAACTTTGTTCCTTCATTACAAAAGGTTACATTATTGCTCATCTTCTTCTCTACTCCTCTCGTAGCTTCATTTCCTTCATCACACTTCACTTCCAGCCTGTAAAGACCATTCTCCTTCACTCCACTTGCAACATTCTCCTTACAGTAAGGGTCCTGTAAGGTACAACTTTCTGTATCAAACATCACATTGAGTTTGCTGGTTTCAATCAGCTTACTCACTGATACTAAGTTATGTTTAAATTCTTTAATGTACAGAACGTCATGAAGAATCAGTTTGTTCGACAACTTAACTTCTCCTATCTTCTCAACTAATTTGATAGTTCCATCTGGAAACCCTACTTTAACTGGTTTCTTTAGCAGTTTAAAATTACTAAAGACTTTCTCATTACCACACATATGATCAGAGGCACCGGAGTCCACAATCCAAGTATTCTTATCATATTTTCTAATGCAAGTTATAGCATTCGAGACTAAGATTATACCTGCAAAATTGGCCATTTTGCTACTGCCTGCTCCAGATGCTTGTTGAGTGTTGAATGCCTTCATTACTTCTTGTACTACTGCAGACACAAGCTTGCTGTCTATTTTCCCTTCTGTATTGCCACCCTTGCTTCCATAATCAAGTGGTTCTTCCTCCAGGTATTCATTCTCCTCTTTCTCAGCATTAGCAGCATATTTCATTCCTCCTCTTCCTTTTGGGTTATTCTTGAACCAGTCCGGGTACCCATGAATCTTGAAACAATCATCAATAGTGTGTCCCTTCATGTTGCAGTGATCACACCATTTCTTCATCTTTATTTCTTTCGTCTCCCTTCTTTGGAAACTTCCATTTCCTCTTCCTTGATTAATCTTGTTCACTGCAAAAGCACTTGCTTCTGTTGTGTTCTGTTCTTCCAGTATCTGCCTCTGTTTTTCAGCATGCTGAATTAAATGGAATGCCGTGTTCAAACTTGGAAGTGGCTCCATCGCCATTATATTCCCAGCAATGTTCTCATTTTTCTTGCTTAAACCCATTACAAAATCAATCACCTTGTTTCTTTCCTGTATCTCCAAGAATTTCTTGAGCAGCTCGCAAGTGCACTTCTTCATAGCACCACAGGTGCATTCAGGCAACCCTTCTACGTCTTGTATTTCATCCCAAATCTGTTTTATCTTGAAGTAATACTCAGAAACTGGCATACTTTCTTGTTCAAGGTTCTTAACCTGTTTCTTCAGAGAGTAAAGAAGAGGTGCATTCGTCTCTCCATATCTCTCCTTAAGTTCTTCCCACAACTTCTCAACAGAATATATGTATGTGAGACTATTCGCAATCTTCTCATCCATAGACCTGCACAACCATCCTCTGAGCATGTAGTCATTTCTCATCCAAAGAGCATACTTTGGATCATCAGGTTTAGGCTTAGTGACCTTCCCTTCAAGGAATCCAAGCTTGTTCTTAGACCCCAGTGAAAGCTTGATGCTTTTGCTCCAGTTCAGAAAGTTTTCTCCGTTGAATGTAATGTTTCCAAGAGGAACATTAGCATTATCAGAGTTCGCAAAGAACAATGGATCTACATATCCATTTTCATTCCTCATTTCCTTATCTTGTCCTGCCATTTTATCAAGGATCAAGAATTCTTCTGATTTCAAGTTGATTAGATGCAGTAAGGTAAAAAAAAGATTCAAGATTTCAACCTTGCTGCTCTGATACCATGTAAAGATTTGATCTTTATTTTTAGTTCTTAAGAACCTCTCACAAATGATGAGTCAAATTCTCTGTATTGATTTCTGTGTACTGCGGCTCTCAGCCTTTACAACCTAGTCTGCCAGTATATATATCAGGGTACACCCCAAAACCCTATACACCTAACCAAAACAAAAAAAACAACAGCTAAGGAAAAAAACAAAAAGAAATTTACAGCTATGCAGAAAGGACAAACAGCTATACAGGACAATTATACACATAAGATTACAGAGGAAATACATCAGATAATTAGCATGTGTTAATACGCTAATTTCCACAAATAAGCTAGGATAATTCGAGGACAAAATCCGGCTAACTTAGTAGAATATAGTACAAAGTATGTATCCTTCAAAAAAAAAAGTACAAAGTATATATACATATACTTAATATAAGAATTCTAGGGTGAAATAATTTCCTGAAAAAAAAAAATTCTAGGGTGAAATAATCCTGCTAACTTATTAGAATATAATACAAAGTATATATCTTTCAAAAAAAAAAATAGTACATAGTATAATAATCCCAACTTCGGGTGTTTTACTAAAAATAATTCCAACACTACTACAAAAATGACCTAAGGTAACACCACGTGGTATCAATTTGAAGGTTGGAAGCTTAACTAGTTCATAAGTAACACTTTTGAAACATTTTGACATTATGTAACATGTGATTGTAACACTTTGATATTAAGTATCACTTTATTCAGATTTTTTGTAACACTTTGATATCAACCCTTGAAAAACTCGAATTACATCTTTTCCCTTTCTTATGACTCTTGTTTTCTATCTTATTCACTCACATCCATAACCACATTCCTCGTCTTACCTCTTTCGCTCTCAGTAGTCTAATTTCAATTTTAATGGTAACCATAACTGCGATTTCATCTCCTTATCTTACCTCTCCTTCTTTCTTCTCAGAGGCGAAATACCTAGGTATTTTTAAAGGTACATCAATAGTGTGCTTATTAATGGGTGAAGGAGAGACTCTTCGCATTTTTGCTAGAAATTACCAGCTTATACGAGTATAATAGTTTTTACGGCTTCTAGGCGTTCTTTCCTTCATTGAAACGACATCTGAGGTAAGATTTTTTTCTTTCTTCTCATTAATTTAATCATCGAATATCAATTTCACAATCTATGGTTTTTTTAATTTACTTGTTTGTATAATCAATTTGGGGTTCCTCCATTGAGCGATTTTATTTTTTGTTGAAATACTCTCTTAAAATTGATTGATTATTGACCCACCCTTTAATTTATCAATAATATACTTCCAATTTTCTTGTCAAAATTCCAAGATTTCATTATGTGGGTGTATCGTCAATGCCCCACTCATTAATTTGATGACCCAATTTCTTGATCTGATCCAATTTCGAGTTAATTAAGAGGGGTTTGTTTATTTTTGAGGTACCCAATTTTATTTTTGTGTTGAGCTTTGGTTTGATATCACGTTTATCTGGGTATTAGATATTTGGATCAGGGTGTGATGATTTGTTCATAAACTTCCATGCTTAGAGTTTTGAATGTGTGAGAAGCTAATTTATTGACTGAATTGAGGAGAAAGGAGTTGATTGTGTGTATAAAGGTTTGCAATTTATCAGCTGTATTGTTGGTTTGAGCACTAAACGTTACTTATAAATGAACATTAAGTTTAAACTTGATCATCATGTGACTCTAAACTAGGTGTAAAAAGACATTTCAACTACATATATTGTTGAATTAATTATCTCATGGGTTTGCTTCAATAATATGTCATCTAAGTATCTATATTGTTTTTTTTTTTTTTTTTTTTTTTTTTTTTTGACAGAAAGTATAAACGAAGTATATTGTTGCTTCTTTCAGTACCTTGGTCTTTGTTCTAGTTGAATTCTTTGTTTTACTTAGTAATATGGTTATATATGGAGTAGTATATAATTTTATTTTACTTTGTTTATTCCATAATCCAGGCCAAATCATTGTGTATCGATTTCACAATCTAGGGTAATTTATTTGTCAGTTTACTCAAGGTTCTTCACAGGTGGATTATTGATTTGCAGTCATAATTACTAAAGTTCTTCTTAATCTAGGATTTCTAAGAGGAATGTATGAGTTTAATTTTGCATATTTTGGAATTTGTATGCATATGTCTGCAATTTTTTTGGTTTTGTTTGGATAGTTTATTTTTATAATTTTTTATTGCCAATTATGTAAAATTATGACTAATAATTTTGTTTGAAGCTACTGCTAGTTGTAGAATTAGCCAAAATTTTATAGAATAATCAAATTATGACTTTATTTTATCACTTTTAATATGACTGTGATCTTATTATATGCTTTTAATTTTTTCTGACATGGTTTTATGTCCTTTGTTTTGTTTGATAAACATATAATGAGATAAGGGAATTATAAAAGAGATTCAAACTTAATCTGGAGAGAAGATGAGAATTATACTAGCTGTGTGGAGTCAAGATGTAAAATTGGTTGCTATGCTTGTGAGTTTGCTTCTCTTCTCGCTCCCTCATTGATTTACAATTTAATTTATCGTTATAAGCACTTACTTTCTTGTGTTTTCCACCCCTGAAGCATTCTGGTCTCTTAACTTTAAGAGAGTTGTGTTATAGTGCTCAACTCCGGTTTTAATATATTCTAGGAAGTCGAATTTGAATGCTATTAAAGGGGCATTACTTGTTTTGATTGCTTTTATTGGGAATTTGTTGGTAGTTTCTAGTTTCTATTAGCTATATTCAAATGTGTCCCAACTGTTTATTCTTAAATTAATGTGTAAGTCATCTTCAATCATTTTTTAACAAATAATCTTGTCAATCCTGCAATTTCGAAACAGTGATAACTAACATTTGTGAATTCATTAGTTTAGTCCTCAGGATATGTTAGAGTAAATGTACATGTCTCTTTGTTCTCCTTTGCAAAATAATATATAGTAATGCTGTTAAAATGAAAAATGTAGCAAACCCCAAGTATCAATCAGTTCATAGAAATTATTCACAGTTAAGAAGTTGACAGTGAGATATAAATAATCAAGAGTTTTTTGCCTTTGATTTTTTCTGTCATATATTGTGATGCTATGATAAATGATGCTCCCTCTAGATTATGAAACGTATGATCTTGTACATCCTCATCTGTTCTGCTTCTGACATATTATGTCTTGATTCTCAATTATTTTCTATAGTTGGAAGTGTAATAAAATTGGTCATCTTGTTAAAGATTGTTTAGTATCTAAACCTTGCTTCTAACCTTCAAATTTGACTCGAATCTGCAGTCAGGTGCTCTTTCTTTGTTCTTGTCTCGATCTCTCTCTCTCTCTCTCTCTTTTTTTCCTTCCTTTTTTTGGCTTTTGTTCCACCTTTGTTTGATAGCTTGTATCTTAGGATGATTATGCATGTTACATCATGTTAGCATTTATGTCCTAAAACCCCTGCTCATACAACATGTGTTTAGGGGTGTTTAGGGTGATTACAATAATTATAATGTTATGTACTGCAAGTCCTCCTTTTGTCTAGAATTATAGTCAGATGTAGCTATAGGGTCCGAAAATAAGGTGTAAGACTTTTTACATAGCTAAAACAGTGAATGGTTGGGATAGGTTTCAGTTGTTATAAATTTATGAATTTATAAAGACATTAAGTATATTTTTCCGTATAATTTTCTGAAAATGATATAGATCGATTTTGGACTATTTGGTTGTGGCAATTTTCCTGTACATGTAAAATAGTGCAAAGAAAATTCATTGTCTCATTTTAGTTCTATTAATTTGATATAGGCATTCTGGCAGTGGTGAGTGGTGTCAAAGGTTTTTAAAGCTTAGCCTTTAAGCCGTCTTGTACAAATATGATAAGTTAATTATGAGCTAGAATTTTAAGAATAACCTTAATCATGTTACTCAGAGTATTTTTTTTTGCCAGAATTTCGAAGATTTCATAATTTAAATTCAAAGTTGCTTTCCGAGCAACTTAGCAGCAAAGGAAATTTACTGCTTGTTTAATTTGTAGCTTGTTATCCATTATGGTTGTAATGTTTTAAGCTGCAAATGATGGTCAAGTCTCCCAGTTTCTCCTAGAGGGCGGGGGATTTTTTTACTGATGCCCTCGTTTAGATATTAATCTCCTTTGCTAGTTTGAAGTGTTCTACTCACAGACTATTAATGTTGTTTTGTTGCTACTAACTGTCGTTTTTTGCTGCTCCTGTAGTCTGTTGCTGACTGCTGCTACTAGTATTTGCTGCCACTGCTCTGTTTTTTGCTGCCGCTACTATCTGCTATTGTTGTTTGCTGCCGCTACTATCTGCAACTGTTGTTTGCTGCCACAGCTCTGCTGTTTGCTACCACTTCTATCTGCTATTATTGTTTGCTGCTACATACGGCTGTCTGCTGATATTGAGGTCTGATCTGTAGCTGTTGTTACTGTTGCGGCCGTTCTGCTAGCTAGTTGTTGCATGCTATCACACTGCTACCGCGTTGACTATTTTTGAATTTGGAGCTTTTTATTAATTTCCTTACTTTTTCTAATCTAGAGTCCGAAACTAACTTTCTTTTTGTTTTGATTATTATATTGTTTTGCCAAACATAAAAATTGGTGTTTATGGATGTTTTTTTTTTGTAAGAATTATGAAATTATATAAATTCAAATTATTGTCTATCATATTTGTTAATTTCTCATTTATGGTTATGTTGTTGTTCGTATAATAATAATAATAATAATAATAATAATAATAATAATAATAATAATAATAATAATAATAATAATAATAATAATAATAATAAATTATAATAAATTATTATTATTATTATTATTATTATTATTATTAATTTTACCTATTAATTAATAAAATGTTACATTAATTTACAAAAGTGATACATAAGGTTGAATAAAGTACTACCATATGTCAAAAGATAAATGAAAAATGTTACCTAATAATCAACAAGGTGTTACATTAGTTCGGAAAAGTGATACGTAATGTCGGATAAAGTGTTACTACATGATTGAAAAATGTTACTAAAGATAAGTAAGTGTTACCTATGAAATAAATAGTAACACTTTAAAAACGATACCAATAATATAAAAAGTGTTACATAAGAGAGTTTAGAGTAACACTTTTGATAGTGTTACCATATGTTACCCAAAGTGTTACATAAGACCTTAGGTAACATGGGCGGAAGTATCACCCAATAAAGTGTTACTTATTGTCTACAATAACACTTTTACCACTTTATGTAACAGTTTTTGGGTGTTACTTAAGGTTAGTTTTGTACTAGTGCAATTTGGATTATTCTAAGTTAATCCCAACTTTAAAGTGCATTTTCCTTTTAACATTCCCACATCGATCAACAAAAGTCGAACAACCTAATATAATAGGTAACTTGACATGCGTTAAGCTGTGATTGGTAAAAAATATTTAATAAAAATATATTTTAAAAAATCAGAAAAAACCCATCCTCACCCATTCCCCTACCAGACCACCCTAGCCCTAGCCTCATCAGAAAATATATTCCACATTCCCTCCCCAAAATAATCGACCACCTTAGCTTTCCCCTATGCTAGAAACTACCTCCTTTTTCTTCCCTTCCCTTCCTCACCCCAAAAAAACAACCCTCCTCCCTTCCTCAACCCTCGAAAATCACTTTCTCCCACCCCAAAACCTTAGGGGGGAGGGGAGGGGTGGTTTTATGGGTTTGGGAAGAGAGGGTTGTTTTATACAGGTTAGAGAAAGGCAAATGGGGTGGTTTGGGGGAATGACATAGGGGAAGGATGGGGGAGGTGTCAAGGGTTGGGTTGGATGGCCATTCGTCTACAGGGGTCAGATGGGGGTGGCTAACCGATATCGAGGCTTGGGGTGGCCAGCCGTTGATAGCTTGTAATTTTGTACATACGATTTTAGAGTGATTTTGAGCCTTAGAATTGTGAGAAATAAATGCCTAATTACTCTATTTTATGCATTGTTTGTGTATCTTATGCTTCACTGGGTTACTAGTGTTTTGGTACATATTTAGGTATAAAGATGACACTTTGAAACTTTTGGACAAAGAAGAAAAGAAATTAGAGACAAGATGAGGAAGTAAGGGAACTATGGAAGAATCAAAGAAGCAAGGAAAAGTGTCCAAGAGTAAAATAAGAGAATTTTGAAGGGTTTTGGAAGGATTTTTTCACTAAAGTCAATTTCAAATGACCGGAACTATTTTTTCTACTTAATGTTTAGAAGTGATTTAAATTGGAGATTAAATTTTATCTCAAGAGCTTTCCAACGGCAGATCAAATGCCTTATTCTGATGAGTAATGAAGAAGTTATGACTTTCTCAAATGAAGTTGCTTCACTAGAAAAGGTTGCTTGTCCGTGTCAAAAAGGAGCATGTTCGTGCAAAGACCTGCACGTCCGTGCCAAGGTCATGCAGTAGTTATTGCTCTTATTTTAAAATGTCTTTGCATGCCCGTGCCGACCTCTAGACGGGCCATTTTCTCGTTTTCTCCGTCCTTTTACTTCCAGGCTATATAGCTTCATTAGTATGGGGGATCTTCTTCTCCCTTAGTCTTCGTAGGCCCTTTCTCTTAGTTAACAATGTAAATCTTTAATAAATTAGTTATTTTAGCTTAGAATCTCTCAAACTCAAGTATTATAGAAGACAATTTTAAACTTTATTATCTCAATTTCAACATTTCTTTTCAACTTTGAAGCTTTAAGTAGTAATGTAATTTCTTCCTCTCTTCTTTTCTTAATTTTTTGTTTTTATATGGTTGTATGGATCTTAATTTTCTCTTAATCCTTGTTAACGTTCTTACATGTTCAATGTTAGAATGTTACTCTTATCCATGATTTGTGAGTAATTACTTAGCTAGGGATTGGGTGAAACACCCAACTAAGTCATGGGTTGATTAATTTGGATTTATTCATGTTATTCTACTTTGGGTTGATAGTGTTTTGTGCTTGAATTGATTGTTGCATGTGTATTTTTGGTGGCCACTTTATGCTCATGTGTTCATTCCCTTACTCACATTGAAAGATAGAGTTTGGTAGTGAGTCCCTTCTTGTGCAATTGAATTATGCCTCTTTCATGACTATGGATGCTTTGTTTCATTGAATAATAGGATGCTTTAGTGTGATAATTTAGGTGATAATTCCCAATTATTTGTGCTTCATGCTATCTTGCATTGATCGAAAGACAAACTCTCTTAGGTAGGGGTTGGGTGAAAACCTAATTACTTTTATAGAGCAGAATTTATGATTACTAATTCTCTTTTATTTTTTAATAAATTAAAATATATATTATAAACAAATAATGGTGTGCTTTTTAAAATGAATTTTATGATAGTAAACAGAACAACGTTATAGGATACTTTATAAAGTTATACTTAATGTTTTATGAATGAAATATTATAAATATAACGATAATAAAACTCTAAGTAACTGTTTTTATCTTAAAAAAAATATATCCAAATATTGTCCTTACTTATTATCATATGTGTCATAATAATACTTATTATTTGTCGCTTACATGGCGTGACACCAAAAAATTTGAGAGGTAAGTGATATCGTTATCTTGTTATGTGGCTGCGAGGCTCGGCTTTATTTATTATTTATATGATTTCATCTCATAGTCTCTATTCTCAAGTCTCAAACCCCCCCCCCCACCCCCGTTTTTTTATATATATAATGTACTTTCTCTATTTCCTTATAGTTGCAACACACACTTTATCACATACAATATTCAAGAAAAGTATAATAATACACTTAAAATGGGGTTAAGAGGCTGTTATAAGTATAATCAAGTGGGCCATGATGAGCTTTAAATAAAGGCAATAGTACAATTTTCACCATAAAAACCTTCCTTTAGGATGTTGCACTTCCTTTAGGATGTTGCAAGCATTGTGACATTTTCATTTTCGAGAAGTGTTGCAACTATAAAAAAACGGTCGAAGTATCTTTTAACACATCTTCTGTACATAGAATATTAAACTACGGAGTACAATTTTGTTAATAAATAATTTCCCAACAAACCCCACATACCTAGTATTCTAACAAACTCAATTCAACCACCTAAAACTCTGTGCTGGTCAAAGATCAAAGTTTTTTTTTGTTTTTTTTAAATGAGTACTTTGATCCTCCAACACATATACTTGCAACAGATTGCCTGTGACACGTTAGTGAGAGAACTTATCAATCTAGATAGCACAACCATATTCATGTTTATGTGATTTTTGTTCAAAACTGATTTCTATTCATAGTGAACCTAAGTTCTAGCCTTTTCATTATTTGATTTTATTCGTATTAATTAGTTTCTAGTAGCTGTTAGTATTTCCAGGCCCGTAGATAAGGGTGTGTAAAGTGTGCTACTGCTAAGGGCCCCAAAAAATTAGAGGGCCCAACAATGTTGTATTCAATTTCCGTTTTTTATGGCTTGGAAATTAGTTTTCTGTACTCTCTCTCTTCCATCATATCACGCTTATTTTATTTTTTTTAAAGAAAAAGTCACGCTTATTCAAATTATCAAATCTGAATTACAATTATTACTGTATTTAATTTCTATATTCCATCTTCTTCCTTTAGCATCCATTAAATTTTATTTCTTTTCCAAAAAAATCAATTAATTTCAATACGACCCCTCTTTTCCATACAAGAATGTCCAAATTAGATTTAGAAATTCCTAACAGGTATATTTTTTTTTTTAAAAAAAAATCATTATTCAATATTGAGAATTTGTGGTAAACTACAACAATACTACTTTTATAATTGGTTTCATCTCTACTACTATGCAAAATTGCAATTTGAAGTGAAATACGAGTAGTGAAGTGCCTGAAGAGCGTATATTTTTTGACAAAGGTTTTTTTTTTTTTTTTTTTTTTTTTTTTTTTTTCTCTACAAGCCAACAACCTAGTATTGCATCTTCTAACATTTACTTATCTTGCTGTAACAGCATTTGTTTACTAAAATCTTCAATTGTAATCAATTTTTTTTTAATTTAGCATAGATTTTTAAATATATAGGGCCCCAAATTCTATTTTAGAACAGGGCCCCATAATCTCCGAGACGCCCTGAGTATTTCATCTCAAACAAAAGCCCTTTTACATAATCTAAATAATATATTAACCAACCATAATAGAATAATAATCTAAATCATATTAACCAACCATAATAGAATAGCTTTCTTCGCGTATATCGATTTGACCCTACTTCCTAACTATTTAATTGACTGAACTGAGCTAATCTAAATTGAACTGAATTTAACTAAACTAAACTTATTGGAATTGAACTGAATTGAACAAAAATAAACTAAATATTTTATGAGAGAAGGAAATTAAGAACTGAATTGAACTGAACTGAATTGAACTTATTTGAACTGTACTGAATCTGAAGAGAACAGACCCTAAGTTATATTTGATTATTAGGTGATAGAAATTAATAATCTAGTAGAGGAGTTTGGAAAGTGGGTTTTTTTGCTTGGCTCATCCTTGTAGGAAAACTGGATGGGAATACTTGGAGTTGCAAAAATGTTCCATGGAAATAATATACCCAATATTAAACTTTGTGTTAAAAAAAACAAATAAAATTCGTAAGTAATATTAACCCCGGCTCGGAAAAAAAAAAAAAAAAAAAAAAAACACGTTGGTAAAACCAGCGACCATCTTTAAAATATGTTGTTGAGTTCATT